CCTCATTTTTTTCTTTCTCCTCTTTTTGGCCTTTGATATCTTTCTTCCTCTTTCTGGCCTTTTGTAATGCTCCTTTGTTTCAAAATTCTCTTTTAAAAGGGGAAGAAGAAGTCTTCACCTTTCCCTCCCTTCCTCTTCCCATATACCTCTGAGCCTTGTTTTGCTTCCTTCCTGCCTTGATGGGTAAATATGGCAAGGTGTCCTCTAAATTCTCATCCACTAGGCATGTCTGCATAACACCTAACCCCAGCTCTCTTGGGCCATGGCTATTAGGTGCTTCATTCTGTGGATCATCACACTGTTCCAGTGGTATTGCCTCCCAAGGTTTTTTTGCGAGTTCAGATAAAGGTGAAAATGTTGGTTTAATCCCAGTAGATAAAGCAGAGGCATCAGAAGAGCAAATTGATTCAGACTCTTGTGGAGAGGAGTCTTATACCTTAGACTTGGCCCTGAAGCTTTTCTGCATAGTTGGCAAAGAAGGGATTGAGGCCATATCTTGTGCTTGTTTCTTCACCCACATCTGTCTGGCTCAGACTAGCTATGTGTAAATTGAGAGGGACTGATTCTAGAAGCTAGAGTGCTCTGAAAAATTAACATCTACTCTTCTGGGGCTGTGCAGACCCTCCATGTTGAAGATACCTGAAGCTAGTTAGAAGGTTTTTCTCCAGTGGTTTACTAGGAAGCATGGTTCCCACTCTACAGCAAGTATTGCATACTTACTGGCTACTTACTGGCCACAGGATGACATGGATTCAGGTATCTGCCCCAGTACACTGTGCAGAGAGACATCATCCCTCTCTTCTTTTAAACAAGAGAAGGTAGAAAACCACTGTCTGCTCGCTGACAGCTGAAGAAGTTTCTCTGAGTGTTTAACCATCTGTTATATACAGATTTCCTTTATGAACACGCCAAATGGTTCTCAAGTCTTTCACTAACCTATTCTTGCACCCTTACATTCTGTCTCTCTTTGAATCTTCTCCTCAAGATAGCATTCCTCTTTGCTATTAGTTGTGCTTCTTTACTCTTGACATAGTAACATTCCATATTGACCCTTCTTCATTTCTAAATCTAACACAGATCTCATGAGATTCTGCTTACTTCCTTCTGTCTCGCCCAAGTCATCCTTTGGAAGAGGGCAGTCAAAAGAACTGCATTCTTCAGGAAATGTAGCTCTTTCTTCGTCTCCTTCCTTCTCACCTTTCTGAGTAAAAAAGTTTCCCCCTTTTTTGTTTTGCCAAATGGATTAAGGCTTGCATATTTCTAGCATGTGAAGTCTGTCATGTCCCTAAGCTTGGTCATATGTAGATCCTCCACTGGAAGAGTTTTGCAGAACAGCTACTTGGACTCACTCTTCCACTCATAAGACACTGTAAGATTGACAAGTATCCTTGAGCAGCGGCTGCCTTTAGCAGACATATCCTTCAAAAAGTAGTTTCTGATTGAAGAGGCAGCTACATCCCTACCTGTAGACCAAGAACCTGCTTGGATATATGTCATTCCTGGATGGCTCCTTCTCACAAACCAAGAGTGGAGCATTGATTTACCAGTGTCCTAATCTGTTTGCTAGATCACTGAAAGAAAGCAGATTGAACTGTTAATTCCATTAATAAAACATGAAGATGAAATAGCTCAAAGTTCACAAGAAATTACAGGATTCCATCAGGATTCTATCAAGAATTATACACCACACCAATTCCAGTAGTAGAATTAGTAAAATTCTCTCAAAAATTGCAATCCCTGAAGTTTCTGTTGAAGACCTGAGAGTTTTAGAAGCTCCAGTAACAGAAAATGAAATTAGGAAAGTAATACAGAACCTAAAACAATAAATCAGCAAGACCAGGTGAATTTACCAGTGATTTTTTTGCTGACATTCTCTGAAAGACTCACACCAATATAGAAATAACTGGTTTCTATATTGTATATATTTGTATATTCTATATTTGTATATTGTTAACCAATGTACAAATGTTGCTTAGCAACACAAACAGCACCCCCCCCCGAAAAAAACCCTGCTAGTGAGTTTCATTGGTTTCCAATATCATCTACCTTTCAATATGACTCTACAAACCTATGGCTTTGCTGGCAGTTTTTGTCAGAGGTGTCTCCTTAATGGATATCTGCTATACAGCAACATTCCAGGTTTTAGCCATCCACATATGTGGGTCCCTGTAGACTAGATGTATGGAAACTTTATTTGGTCTTTTATTCATGCTTAAGAGTTTCCCAGCTCCTATAATTGAGCTAACTAGTCATCCATATTTATGAGTCACATACCACAAAGCAGAACAGGTTACTTGCGCAACTGTGGCTCTTTGAGTGGTCATCTATGAAATCACGCAAACCATTCTTCCTCTTCTCTTTATATCCTGCTTCTCTATTGGTGGCACATATAGTACTGGGGGAGTATTTACTGAGGTGCATATTTAGACATGTACTTAAGAGGGAATGGGATTCCTGCAATAAACCATGTAGCTCTAGAATGCTCGGATTTGGCTCTGATCAGATGCAAAACCCATATGTGAATTCACAAATGATGACAGTGACAGTAAGCAACCTGTTCTTGTAATTACAGTACTGTTATGTTTGGTTTGTGAAAATATTAACATTCTTTAGATTGAAACCAGGGATTTCATGCCCATGAGAATTGTAGATCTAGATACCAATTTATGCATTGACTGATTTTGAGTTTGGATTGTATATGTTCCTGATTTTTCATAATACACTAGACTAAGTATTATGATTTATCCCAAAATATTTATAACAAGTTTGGAGACTTATTTTTCTAAATTTAAAACATAAGGATGGAACATATAAAGTTTTTTTTAAAAACTTCAGTCGCGTTAATTGATTCTTCTTGTCTTTTCCCTTTTTATTTGTTTGTTTGCAATTATAGTGATACCTATAAACTTTTATGAAGTTCACCGGATTCCTATTTTTGTCCAGATTTTATTTTGAAGTTAAATTGTAGGTTTGAATACTGTGTTTCCCTGAAAATAAGACCTAACCTGAAAATAAGCTGTAGTATGATTTTTCAGGATGCTCATAATATAAGCACTGCCCCCAAAATAAGCCCCAGTTAAGAGAAACCCCACCCTCCACTATTGTGCAGCAACTATAAGATGACATGTCTATATTTGAATATATGTAGATTGTTGTACATGAAAAAAAATCCCCTTGAAAATAACTCCTAATGCGTTTTATGGAGCAAAAATTAATATAAGTCCCTGTCTTATTTTCGGCGAAACACCATATAAAGAACTTGGCAATGGCATGAAAACTTTAATTTCTGTTATACAGTGATGCCTCGCAAGACGAATGCCTCACGCAACAAAATTCACAAGATGAAAGCGTTTTTTGATTTTTGGTGACTCGCAAGACAAATTTTTTTCTATGGCTGTGCTTCACAAGACAAATAAGAACATATTAATTAAATTTCAATGCATTCCTATGGGAAACCGCGCTTCACAAGATGAAATTTTTGCAATACGAAATGGCTCACGGAACGAATTATTTTCGTTTTGCGAGGCATCACTATAATTCCTCTATTGGCACAGGGAATGTACTGTATGATATTTGAACAGGAGTAGACTTTTGCAGAAACACAATGCCTTTAAATTATAATAGACCGTGGGGAAAAAGTTTGGCATGAGAAAATGAATGTTTTGTTTTTGAAATTTGTATGGCAGTGATGAGTCACTTTGTCCAAAATCGAGCTGTTTTCATTTAACTGCTAATAGTTTTTGTGAAAAACTGAGAGTACTGTTACATATCCTTTCAGACAGAACTTGCATAGCCTTCTGTATCTAAATCTGAATGAGTTTATTGAAAATCAAACAAGAAACAACTTGGATTGTTTTATTTACAACTACTTTCTTCCTTGGTTCATTAAGGGCATAAGAGTATCATGCATGGTAAAGGCAGCTTCCTTCTATAGTGTCATATTAATAACTGGAAATGATACTAAATTAGGATTTTGCAAATATAAAGCAATACATATTACAATTTTAATTGAGAATTACTACAGAAAAGACCAGTGTTTATTTTATATAAAAACCATACTCCCCAACTGTTTAATCTTAGGCTTTACCCAGTTTCACAAGGGGTATGCTTTCCGTTTCCAAGCTGCTTAGATATTAAAGGAGCCATTGCCAAGTGTGGTCCTTTAGTTTAGATGGCATTGGACTACAGCTGTGAGTGTTCCTCACCACTGGCTGTGTTCACTAGGGCTGTTGGGAGCTACATTCTGACAACATCTGAAGGGCCACATTGTGTTTACACTGTATAAAACAATGTGGTCAGCAAGTCTTGTTGCAGGTCAGTAAACAGTGGTAAACTATGATTTGTCTTTATGGGTTATGCCATTATTTAGCCATCGAAAGCTTATAGCAGTATTAGGGAGAAGGTTCAGAACCCTGAATATCTAATTCTCTGTCCAGCATTTCTATCGTCTTTTGACATTGGAGATAAAAGCCAGGCTAGAAGATTGATGAGTAATAATCTACATATGTGAAAGAGTGGATAAATAATAATTTAATTGTGTGAAAAAAATGTTCATATAGCATAAAAGCTGTAGGTTTTTTGAGTCATAGGCTATATATCACAATAATTAAACCTGGTCCTGAATCACGTTATTACCCCCCCTTTTTTTCTTTTGAGGTCCTGTTTGAACTCAGACAATAGTAAAGGAGACATTTTTTCATGGGTTCATCTAGTCAAATGACTCTTTTCCAAGCATATGTATATGTACTGTTATATGAAAATATCATATTTTCCCTCAGAAGTGAGACAGTTGATCAACGAGACAGAGAATTAGAACTTCGGGTTGTAAACACTGCTTTCTTCCCCATTTATCTGTAAGCTTTTGGCTAGGTAATGGGTGCCTGAGCAAGCTTTTTACTGTAGTGAAGGAGTGTCATCGTTTGATTAATTGTTTGCCCAAGATCTTTAGTACAGTAAAGGAAAACAGCACTTGCTTTAAAAACCCTTTCCTTCTTTTATAGGATAAGAGAACTGAGCAATGAATAAATTACGGCAGAGCTTTAGGAGAAAGAAAGACGTCTATGTCCCTGAAGCCAGTAGGCCGCACCAGTGGCAGACAGATGAAGAAGGGGTCCGGACTGGGAAATGCAGCTTCCCAGTTAAGGTAAATTTATCTTTTGTTTCCAGAATGATAATGCAGTTCTAAATTCTCTCTGCAGTAATTTGGCAGGACTATAGTTTTTTTGTCTGAAACAAGTAATGTTATCTACTTATCTATACTTTTCCTTTGGTTCTATTAGCATGCAAGAAATGACCTCTAGGACTGGGTATTCATGAGGACAACTTCAGCAGGTCCCATTTTCTACTCAAGGGAACCAGAAAAATAATTAAAAATGTTGAAATCTAGCCAATTAATGGCAATACATTTAATCAAAAGGTCTTTAATTGATTCATTAAACTAAAAAAAATTGTACTCTGTTACCAGAAATGTAAAAGGCTTTTGCATGTTATTCCAGCTAGTTAGAAACACAATGTTAATTTTAGAAAGTTGCTAGCTGAAGCAAAACATGTGATTCACTGTTAGAATAGTGTTAAAATGCTTTTTCTTTGTATTTAATCTTGCCCTTCATTGGGAAAGTGAATTTTTAGTGTTATTTGATACCTTGAAATACTAATCAGGAAACAAGAATCTTCTAATTTGCTGATATAATTATGTGATTGATTTACATATACTTTGATGATTTTATTTGATTGTATTTTATAATGTTTTATTCTTCTTTGTATGCCGCCCTGAATAAACTCTGTCTAGAGGGGCGGGGGATAAATCGAAAAATAAATAAATAAATAAATAAATAAATAAATAAATAAATAAATAAATAAATAAATAAATAATTTTTTCAAATAGTTTTGATGAAGGATCGTACATGAAAACCAAACAGGCAATGAAGTATCTCCCATAGGAATGTACAGACCACATCGTACATGCATACGGTATTCTCAGACTGTGAGAAACAGCAAAAACAGCAGAATTACTTTATACTTAATGCTGGTCCATCTGTGGAGGAAAAGTCCTTACCATTCATTTCATAGTAAAATTCAGTATTAAAGCCAGAATTTTACTGTCGTCCCAAGAAAGTCTTCTAATTAAATGATGTTCATAGTCTTCTGTTGTGTGTGTTTGAATTACTTCAAATAGAAGTAGATAGCAAATGAATGGAGGTTAAGGAAAGCAAGGTGTTGCAACAAGGCTTTTACCTTGTATGAAATAAGAAATGCTTGATTTTCAAACTGGATTCCAAGGAGGAAGAAGAACTTGAGACCATACTGCAAGTGTTTGCTGGCTACTGGAGCACATGAAGGAATTTCAGAAGATCAGTCTGTGCTTTATAGACTATAGCAAAGCCTTTGACAAAAATCTAAGCTATGCAGATGACACTGTCTTACTGGCAGAAAGCAGCAATGACTTGAAACACTTAGTGAAAGTGAAAGAAGAAAGTGCCAAAGCATGTCTGCACTTAAACATGAAGAAGACAAAAATCATGACTGAAGGCGCACTAAACTACTTTAATGTTGAGAATGAAGAAATTGAAATTTTGCATATGTTGGTTCAATTACCAATCCAAGTGGAGACTGCAGCCAAGAAGTCAAAAGATTGATACTCAGAAGGGCGGCAGTGAAGGAAGTAAAAAAGAGCATGTGTAAGGATGCGTCACTGGAGACCAAGACTATCCACACTATTTTATTTCTGATCACCATGTATGGGTGTGAAAACTGAACAATGAAAAAAGTTGAAAGGAAAAAAATGGATTCATTTGCAGATGGAAGAGAGCGTTGTGGAAAACCTGTACAGTGGGGTCTCGACTTACGAACGGCTCGACATACGAGCGTTTCGACTTACGAACCGCTCTCATAGGAATATATGGACTCGACTTACGAACTTAGATTCAAGTTACGAACTCTTTTTTTCCCTTTTTTTTTAAAGCTAAGTCATCTTAGGTCAAAAGGAAAAAAGAAAAAAATTATCCCCCTCTAGTGGCAGAAGGCAGAATAGCAGCTTCCCATTAGTTTCTATGGACGAAAAGAGCAGATACGGATTAAATGGTTTTCAATGCATTCCTATGGGAAATGCAGATTCGACTTAAGAACTTTTCGACCTGAGAACTGCCTTCCAATACGGATTAAGTGTGTAAGTCGAGACCCCACTGTATTGCCAAAAAGGCAAAGAAGCGAGTCCTAGATCAAATCAATCCTGAACTATCTCTGGAGGCAAAAATGATGAAACTGAGGCTGTCCTACTTTGGGCACATCACAATAAGGCATGATTCCCTGGAAAAGCCAATAATGCTGGGGAAGGTGGGAGGCAGTAGGAAAAGAAGAGGCCCAAAAATGAGGTGGATTGACTTCCTAAAGGAAACTCAGACTTAAATGTAAAGGAGCTGAGCAGGGCTTTTGCTTCCTTTGTAGCCTGGCTTTTCTTCCACTTCCTATGTGTGTCCTTTTTTTGTTTACAGGTCCTCTTTGAGCTTTCGGTGAAGCCATATTGGTCTTTTTGTTGCCTTCTGTTACAATAAATCACGAGTATTCTTCTGTTAGTTCCTGGTTGTTCAGTTTAAAGTAGGACTTTCTGACTTTGGTTATTGTGATCATTGTCACTTTGACTGATTTCAGTCTCTCTCTGTACCAGATTTTCCTTTTTTGCATAGACTTACCCTGCCTTTCTCCTCAAAAAGACCCAAGACTTTGGTGAAAAAGATAGCTTACGTGCACCATTTTTGTTTTGTGCCAAATACTCTTACTGTTCTAAGTAACAGTCTAAGAATTCTGTATATTCACTTAATGGTTGAGAACCCTCATTTTCAAAGACACTGCTGCTTAGAGCATTGAAAAGGCTATTTGTTTTGCTGATCCTTTTGTAAGCGCTCTAAATCTAGTAAGGCCAAATAGATTATTGCAATTTAAAATGTAACAGACTGTTTGCTTCCATCCATTACTGAACATTTTGATGATTACCGCTATAAAGGAAGTTTTTTTGGTCTGCCTTGAGAACTCAGTTGAGTATACTCTTACTGTAAAAAAAGGGAGAAAGAGAATATACAGTAGTGCCTCGCACAACGATTGCTTCATACAACGATGAATTCACACAGCGATGGGTTTCTTTGAGGAATTTCCCCCTTCTGCCACTAGAGGGGGATAATTTTTTTCTTTTTTCCTTTTGACCTAAGATGACTTAGCTTTTAAAAAAAAGGGAAAAAAAGAGTTCGTAACTTGAATCTAAGTTCGTAAGTCGAGTCCATATATTCCTATGAGAGCGGTTCGTAAGTCGAAACGCTCGTATTTCGAGCCGTTCGTAAGTCGAGACCCCACTGTACAGGTTTTCCACAACGCTCTCTTCCATCTGCAAATGAATCCATTTTTTTCCTTTCAACTTTTTTCATTGTTCAGAGATCGGAAAGGGCTCTTTGATCTCCGTTTCCCTTTTAAAGCTCTTTCCGATCTCCCTTTTTGCTCCTGTAAAAGTGTCTTAAACTGTTTGAAGCCTGTTTTAAATGCTTGCAATCGTTAGCCCACCTCCTGAAACCTATGCAAACTTAATTTGGTGTTGTTCTGAGTCTTCGTTAATTTTTGGTGATTTTTTTTTCTCTCTCATTGAAAAGCATTTGCTTTTCAATGAGAGAGAGAAAAAATCACCAAAAATTAACGACGACTCAGAATAACACCAAATTAAGTTTGCATAGGTTTCAGGAGGTGGGCTAATGATTGCAAGCATTAATCTGTTCCAATTGGAACAGATTAACCAGTTTTCAATGCATTCCTATGGGAAATGGTGTTTCACTTAACGATGTTTTCACATAACGATTTTTTTATGGAACCAGTTAACATCGTTAAGTGAGGCACCACTGTAGTTGCAAGTTAACACTTCTTCATAAATGAAAGCTTTGTCAGAATATGTCCCACTTGGACGTAGCATTTTTGGTGTGGGTGGAAAGACAGGCAGTGAGACAATTCTAAGACTTTTTATAGCTTTTGTGAGCTTAGGGTACCCTGAAAGACAGGACTATAGTAGTATGTTGAAGTTTCTGATATCAGTGGTTTTGTGTTTCCAAATATTGTGCTTTATTTAGAGCCCAGTGAACCAGAAATAACACTTGACTTTGGCTTTTGCAATAACTACATCTTTCTGGCTCAATTTTTCAGTATAGTAGTATGAACTAACCTGTCTTAAGAACTGCATGAATCCAAATAGGTGCATTGGCCATTTCAGGTCTATTTATTTATAAAGCCTGTGGTGCTGAGTCAGTCTGTTGTGTGAAAAGGGGAGCTACTGTGTGAAAAACTGATTCAACAATCTTGATGATTCCTCGATGATTCCCATCAGTACAATACAGAGTGGCTATTAAGATTAATATGTAACATTCTGCTATAGCCATTTCTTGTCACAAGATGAGTGTGGTTCAGTATAGCATGTGGAAGGTCTGCAGTCTACAGCAGAAATAGGCAAACTTTTTTCTGTTGGGAACTGCATTTCCTTGAGTCTGGGAGTCAGTGGCTGCATGCTAGCAGTGGGCAGGATTGTTTTTCTCTGTCCTTTCCCCCTTCCCTGACACATAGTTCAGTGAAACAGAGAAAGAAGCAGAGATCAAATAATATAGAGAACTCACATTGTATTTAGTCAGCCATAGTTAAATATGCCAGACACCACCTAGTACAGTGGTGCCTCACACAACGGGTGCCTCACACAACGATGAATTCACACAACGATGCCTTTTTCTGTTAAATTTGCCGCCTCACACAGCGATGTTTCCTATGGGGGATTTTCACACAACTATCTCCCTTTTCGCTCCTGTAAAAGTGTCTTACAATGTTTGGAAGCCGTTTTAAATGCTTGCAATGGTTAGCCCACCTCCTGAAACCTATGCGAACTGATTTTGGTGTTGTTCTGACACTTCGTTAATTTATGGTAATTTTTTGTTTTTCCCCCTCATTGAAATGCATGGAGTTCAATGAGGGGGGAAAACAAAAAATTACCATAAATTAACGAAGTGTCAGAACAACACCAAAATCAGTTTGCATAGGTTTCAGGAGGTGGGCTAACCATTGCAACCATTTAAAACGGCTTCCAAACATTGTAAGACACTTTTACAGGAGCGAAAAAGGACTTCGCAAAGCCATTGAAATGTATTGAGTCCGCTTCAATACATTCCAATGGAGGAAACATTGTTTCACACAGCGATGTTTCCTATGGGGATTTTCACTCAGCGATGGCAATCCGTTCCAATTGGAACGGATTAACCAGTTTTCAGTGCATTCCTATGGGAAATGGTGTTTCACAGAACGATGTTTCACACAACGTTGATTTTTTTGGAACCAATTAACATCGTTGTGTGAGGCACCACTGTACATTGAAATAAAGCAGGAAGCACCAACCAGGACTGTCTCACTCAGCCTAGCTGACCAGTCTTTCATTTAGGCAGCATCATGTCTGGGAGGTCTGGTTATACAGGAGCGTCCAAGGTACAGTAATCTTTATGCTAGCCAAAATTGTTCCATAACTTATGCTTCCACAAGGATGATGATGGCAAAGATTTTGAGTAATTAAAAGAGTTCCTACTTCTGTCCCATGTCCAACTTGTGTGTGATTAGTCTTGTTGTATTGCAAGCTATGCAAGCCTTGTGACAGAAGTAGCACTCTTTGATTACTAGAAATCTGCTTGAAATTTCCTGATGTCTTCACCCTTATGCAGGTGTAATTTACAAAACAGGATTTGGCCTCTGTCTTTGTTCTCTAACAGCTTTGGCTAGTTTCTGATGAGAAATTTCCATTAGAGCTCATCCTGACCTGAAGTTCTGTGGCCTTCCCCTGCCCCTTCTCTGATCTAGTCCTTTAGCCTTGCATGAAAGTCTCATGCGTAGCTTAAAATACACAGTGATCAATGTTATCTGGATCATTGAGCAAGTTTCCCACATCTTTTGGATTAATTTTGTTTCTGCCTTATGGAGCTGTTCTTTTTGTTGTTATGTGTAGCTATTTCAAATACAAAACAGTATAAATTCAGGTTTGAGACCCAGATATTGCCTGATGGTCTGTAGTCGCTATGTACAGAACATATAAAAATCTTGAACTATTTGACTAAATACAACATGTATGGAACTGCTATATTTCAATTTGTCTAATCTGACTTATTTTCTCTTTCAGTATCTTGGACATGTTGAAGTGGATGAATCTAGAGGAATGCATATATGTGAAGATGCTGTGAAAAGACTGAAAGCTGTACGTATACTTACTACATATTATCAGTATACAGCTTTTTCCTGTTTTAGTGTAGGCATGTTTTTTGCTTCAAAAAATATTTTCCTTAAAGTACCATGTGTGGTTACTGAGACATGCCAGTATGAATGGAAAGAGAATTAGAATGATGATCAACACTAAAAGAAATTTGTTTGTTGTTGGCATCTTTAAGAAGAAGTCTTTCTCTAACATTTGCTAGTCATTCTTTATTTGTTCTTTTTTTAAAGAACATGTCAGTTTCCCACCCAACTAAATGTTGATCAGGACTACTGTATTCCATATATGTGTATGTTAGTCTTAAACTGGGTGTCAAAATGATTAGTTGATACCAGCTTCTTGGTGTTTGTCTCCTGAATAAGAAAGGTGAATGAATGAAAAGAGTGCAAAGAACTTACCTTGAAAGCTTCTGAAGCATGTATAACTGAGTAACTGGAAAAACACTTAAGATCTTCTAACTGGAGTGTTGTGACTTTTGAGACCTGAGAGCAGCACAGAATCAGAACTGAGAGTAGCAATCTAATTATTAAAACCTCATGGGTTTTAGATGTTAAATTCTCCTGCATATAAGCACTGTGGCTTCTAACAGAAACCCTTTGTTTTCTTCCCTCAGTCACACACATGAGGATTACAGATTAGTCTTTCTAGAGAGCTTCTGAATAAACTAGTACTCTGATTAGATGTCATCTCCAATTTCTTGTTGGTTGTTATCGTGATGACTTAACAAGATGTTGGTTATGCTTCCATCATTTCTGGCATGATAATCCAAATGCATCATAGTAGAAGTCACAGGCTTGATAATAAAAGTGATGCCTTCCATAATCTTTTGGCCAGCACTTCCAAAATAGTTAAATGAGTGCTTTCTGCAGCTAAATATGGACCTATTGGTGTTGATGCATATTCATGTTTTTCTTTACAAAGGTATTCAGACATTTCAGACCATTTTTCCAGCTTAATGAACGGAGTATTCTCATTAAGAATTTTGAAATGTACAGTAGTAATTCTTTTGGTAATCCAGTACAGTACTTGTATGCAATTTTGTCAAGTGAATTTCCGCTTTCACAGGGTTGCTGCTTATCTTCCAATTCAGTAGAACAAGTTTTTCTCAAAACAAGCCATAATGTCATTTACAAGCTGTTAATTCTAGATGTATTTATTTAGGTGTAGCAGCCTGATGTTGTCAAAACAGACTGATGTGTGTGATAAACTATTAAATGGCTGAACCTTGGTCACCTCCTTTTTTCTGTTCTATACTACTATAGAAGTTCTGTCATCCTTTTTTGACTGTATATTTGGGGCTGCTCTGTATTTCAGATTTATATTTTTAAAAATCTGTGAAGCAGCTCTACCTTCCCCTCAGAATATAAAACAATTCATTTTTTCCTTTATAGGGGGTCTTTGTCTTTTCCTTTAAATATGGACACAAATATATCTGAGTTCACTAGAATAGAGATGGGTGTGAAAAGTCAGGTTTACACCCATTTGTTGCCATTTGCTGCCTGAATGTGGCATAGTTTTCATTTGATTTAATCTTAACTGTACTTTAAATAGCCTGAATTGACATTTTACAGTACTGTAAGTACTAATCAGCCCAGGAATAGAAGTTTGTCTGTTAAATGTGTTATTAATTCAACTGTAACATCTTGTGTTGTGTATACTTAAATTCTAATCCATATTGTACCCTTTTGGAATGAGGGGCATGCTAGAGTGTTCAGGGACAGGTAAAAGTAATGGGGTTAACTCCCAGATAATACAATGGCATGTCTTGCAAATGCTACCATGGGAGTTAGAAGCCTGACTTGTAAGGGAGAACTACATGTGAAATAGAATTTCTCACAATTAAATAGTAAAATGTAGCTGTGGCCCTATAACTACAGAGCTTTAAAAATCCAGACATTTGTCTCCCAGTTGAAAGCTGTTGGGAGACTAAAATGAAGCTTGCAGCTTCAGATCTCTTTTGAAGATGATCTTGATTATTTGAGCTCAGTGTATATTTGAAAAAATTCCTTTCATGTGGCTAGGTTTTTCTTTCATACTTTGAAGACATAACCTCTGGTGAGTGTACAGCTTGACCACATGGTATGGATGTAATCTCAAATGCTAGTGCACCATTAGATTTTAAAATGAGAATGTTATGGAATTTGAAACTTGTTTGAGACCAGTAATGCACAACTTTGCAAAGACATTTAAAAGTGTAGTTTCTTTCTTGATAAAGAGGAATATATACATGTTCATTGGTAAACTGTGTTGGAGCATGCTTGTTGCTATATTATCTCCATTCTCTCTCATTTGGTTCAGATTGCCTTAAAAATTTGTCTCTTAGTGTGTCTTTTTTGTTTGCAAATATGATACATTTGTTAATATATGTTCTTGTTTTAGCAGGTAAAAGAAATATAACTTAATTGTGTTTTAAATATGAGTGATGTTTCTGAATATTAACTTCCATAGCTACCCTAAAATCCATTTTGCATGTTCTATAACATTAATGCTTTCTCTGAAACATCTGATTTTTTTTCTATATTAACACCTTCTGAAAAATTAAGCTAATGCTGTCACCCAAACCTTGTGAACTCTCATGTGTCTTCTACAGACTGATTATATTGATATTTAATGCTTAACTTGGCAGTGGTAATATCCAGTTTTTTCCCCTTGTATAGCCTTGTGATTAATTCTTCGGCAGATATTAAGTTATATTGTATTCAACCATGCTATAGTAAGCTACTGTATCTTGAAAACAGGTTTAATAAACTAAGACAGTAATATCTGTTAGATGTTTCACCATACTTGCCATGTGTGCAAATAGCTGCCATATGGCAGAGAAATGGGGCAGGGGCATAATGATTGTAGGAAGCCCACAGTTGAATCTAGAATGACACAAACCCTTAAGAATCAGAGAACACCATAGATGTGTGGCAGATATCAGGCAATATATGTAAAACAGCTGCTCCTTGGAGGCTACTTTGACTGCTGCCACCACGTGAAAAGACATTTATGTACAATAACTCCAGACATGCTTGAATAACTTAAATGTCTTGTTATGTGGATTTTTGTGATGGTGTGAAGAAAGGAATTACATGTGGTGACCAAAGCATGTGAACAGCTTGCTACATGATAATCAGTGCAAGAGCAATTTAGAATCTGACTTGTCCCAGTCCCTAATAGTGAACATGATCAGGAAAATAATCTGGTCTCTTGCTTGTTTCTGGAAAATTGGATATTAAAGCTGCTGCACTTAATTGAAGTGAAAATGTACAGCACTTCCAGTTTGTTTATGCCTTATGCAGATTCAAATCAGGATATCTTTCAAACTTTTTGTAAGGGAACATCAAGAAGAAAAGTTTTAAATGGTGTCAGGAGTATTCTTGACAAGTTACTGAATAGTTTTCATGGAGAGAGAAAAAGGCAAGAAATGCATTTTATGGTTTTATTTGTTTGTTGTTCTTTTTCCAAAATCTAATGTATCTTTTCAGTGAAAAAAATCAGGATTTGAAAACAAAAATAAATCCTGGGCATAAAACAGCCTACATTCTCTGCTAAGTCAACTTTAAAAGTATTTTTGGAAAATAAAAGTGGAGGGTATATGACTGAAAAATACCTTTTTAAAAGTTTTATTTTTAAAGGGCAAGGTGGAAAAGAAGCACCCTCCTGTTTGTTTTCTTTAGATTTCATGCTGTTTTAGTTATATTTCTTATATCTTAAAGTTTCCAGAGGCATTAGATTTATCATATGTGTAACTTTTATGCCATTCTAATCAATTTAGAATGCCTCCCTGTCTGCTGCCAAGTTTGGCTAGTAATCCCACTAAAAGCTAAGGGGACAAACAAAACAAAATAAACATTTGCATGAAATTGGATTTGATTTTTCCTTTCCTCTTTCCACAAATTTCAGAGCTTTAGTCTTTCTTAATAAAAGACCATATGATACCTTTTATTTGCATTTCTGTGGGACTTTTCCCATCTGACTATCACAACCTCTGTGGACAACTCTACATTACCCGCTTTCCTTCCAATCCCTATATTATTGTATGTATATGTTGGTTTGAAACCCTGGGACACTTTAAGCTACCTACAGTAATAGCATCCGACTTGTCCCCCCTGTTCCTCCAGGAAAGGAAGTTCTTCAAAGGCTTCTTTGGAAAAGTAAGTTTAATGCCGCGTTGTGTTTGCGCTATAAGGAGTTACATCCCTAGTATAGCATTGCCTGTTGTCAGAATGTCTCACAAAATTGATTTTTGGCTTCAGCTGACTCTTTGAGTTGCAAAAAACTACTCTCCTCACCCCATATCAAAGACTCTCTCAGTATTACAGGTAGCTAGATTGATAGGCTGTTATAACAGAAAAGTATAGAGCTACATGATCCTGCTGCTAAATGCTCATTGAAAATTCACGATATAGTTATGCGCCTTTGGAAGAAAGCATATTTAACACTACTGATAGATACCTTCAACTTGCTAGAAGTATTAAATTTACACTTCTGTTAAACTGAATAACAAAACATCCAAAATATGAAGGAAACAGTTTATATACTCTTACATTGTAGATATGGGAGGAATCTGAACATCCGATCTGTTTTTCATTGCAACAATTTCATATTGAAATACCAAATCAACACTATTTAAAATCACACATCACCAGTTTTACTGGTATATACATTTTTTTCATAAAATCATAGAATCACAGAGTTGGAAGAGACCACAGGGGCCATTGAATCCAACCCCCTGCCATGCAGGAACTCCATCAAAGCACTCCCGACAGATGGCCATCCAGCCTCTGCTTAAAAACCTCCAAAGAAGGAGACTCCACCACACTCCGAGGCAGCATATTCCACTGCCAACCAGCTCTGACTGTCAGGAAGTTCTTCCTGAGATTCAGGTGGAATCTCTTTTCCTGTAGTTTGAAACCATTGCTCCTTGTCCTAGTGTCTGGAGCTGTAGGAAACCTGTCCCTTACTCGACATGACATCCCTTCAGATATTTAAACATGGCTATCATGTCCCCTCTTAACCTTCTTTTTGTGAGCCTAAACATTCTCAGCTCCCTAAGCCGCTCCTCATAGGAAATGGCTTCCAGACCATTTTGGTCGCCCTCCTCTGAACACGTTCCAGGTTGTCAACATCCTTCTTGAATTGAGGTACCCAGAACTGGACATAATACTCCAAGTGAGGTCTGACCAAAGCAGAATAGAGTGGTACTATCACTTCCCTTGATTTAGACACTATATTCCTAGTGATGCAACCAAGAATTACATTGGCTTTCTTGGCAGCCGCATCACACTGCTGACTCATGTTCAGTTTGTGGTCTACCAAGACTCCTAGATCCCTTTCACAGGTACAGTGGTGCCTCGCGTAATGAACGCCTCAGTTAACAACGAATCCGCATAGCAACGGATTTTTTAACGATGTTTCTAATGGTAAAAATTCGCTTTGCGATGATCGGTAAGCTGTTTCACTTACCGATTTTCGCATAGCAATGTTTTAAAAACAGCTGATCGGTGGTTACAAAATGGCTGCCGGGGAAAAAATGGCCGCCCGCTGTGTTTTCGCACCGATTCCTTGTATACCGGTCCGCGAAAATGGCGGCCGTATGGGGGATTTTCGCTTAAAGGTGAGTTTTAAGCCCATACTATGGGCTTTTTCTTTTCGCATAGCGACGAATCCGGATAGCGACGATTTTTCTGGAATGGATTATCGTCGCTATGCGGGGCACCACTGTACTGTTGTCTAGCTAGGTGTCTTCCATCCTGTATCTGTGCAGTTCATTTTTTCTGCCTAGGTGTAGGACCTTACATTTATCCTTGGTGAAATTCATGTTGTTAGTTTTGGCCCAGGACTTTAATCTGTCAAGGTCATTGTGAATTTTAATCCTGTCCTCTGAGGAATTAGCAACCCCTCCCAATTTGGTATCATCTGCAGATTTAATCAGCATACTCTATTTTTTCATCCAAGTCATTGATAAAGCTGTTGAATAGCACAGGGCCCAGAACAGAACCCTGAGGCACCCCACTAGTTACCTCTCTCCAGGATGAAGAGAAGCCATTGGTGAGCCCCCTTTGGGTTCGGTCAGTCAACCAATTACAAATCTACCAAACAGTAGCACTGTCTAACCCATATTTTACTAGCTTCCTTGCAAGAATATCAGGGGGAACTTTGTCAGAGGCCTTACTGAAATCAAGATATGCTATATCCACAGCGTTTCTTTCATCTATCAAGCCAGTAACTCTATAAAACAAACAAACGAACAAACAAAAACAAAAAACCAGATCAGATTAGTCTGGCATGACTTGTTTTTGAGAAACCTGTGTTGACTTTTAGTGATGACAGCATTGCTTTCGAAGTAACAATCTAAATTACAATGCCACAAATAGAGAACAGGATCAGCAGAAATGTACAATTTCAAATTATAACAATAGATTTAGTAATACCCTGTTTTCCCGAAAATAAGGCCTAACCTGAAAATAAGGCCTAGTATGATTTTTAAAGATGCTTGTAATATAAGCCCTAACCCCAAAATAAGCCCCAGTTAAGTGAAATCCCGTCCTCCACCATTGTGCAGCAACCAGAAGATGACATGACTGTACTGTATTCAAATAAATGTACATTGTTATACATGAAAAAAAAATAAAACATCCCCTGAAAATAACCCCTAATGCGTTATTTTGAAGCAAAAATTAATATAAGGCCCTGTCTTATTTTCAGGGATACACAGTATTTAATAAAACCATAGGCAAACAAACTAGGGTACATGTTACAAAGGAAAACATGAAAACTTCCTGGAGCACTTCCTTTCTTTTCTCAGACAGTGATGATGAGTTAGGTCTCACATGACTTTTTTGGGAATTTTGCTAGCTTCAATCCACATCAGTAGTAACATGTTGTCTGCTTACTTTAGCAAGAAAGACTGGTCAAAAGTACTACATTCTTGCTTCTTTAAAAAGTAGTGTTAGATGTGTGACAGTGGGAGCATAAAGCGTTCAAAGAAGTAAAAAATTAAAAGCTGTTACTTTTATAAAATGATGTTTGAAATGTATGAATATCCCTGCATTTCGGTGCTATACCTAGGAAATACTAAATCACTAATGAAATAAATCACGGATTTGCACTATATCTCACAGTATCATTCTCTATATATTTTGTTGGAGGTGGCTCTCACTGTATCCAGGAGGACTTATCTTAGTATAAATATGCACAGGATTGCAGCAAGGGGAAAAAATTGGATAGGCATGGGAAGACTGAGTTGTGTTCCTTCTGATTAGTGATGCCACTCACTATTCGTAATTGTAATGGCTGCATAATGTAATTGAAAAGCTGTTTCTCTCAGAGCCATTGGTACATAGCCATGTGATACAGTAGGATCCTCATATTTGCAGGATTGGTACATGTGGTTTCACTCATCCATGGCTTGCTGTACCCCTACATATAACATACAAGAGTATGCCCTTGTGTCCTTTGTCCTGTCTCCTAGTGTGTTGTATATAGGTTTCCTCCGCAGCTGTGGTTTTAGGCATTCACAGTAGATAGGGGTTCTACTCAGCTCATTGAATGACTTGGGAGCGGTCACTGTATCTCAGCCTAAAGTCAATTTAAAAGGCTATTATCAGGGTAAACTGGGAACATGGAGAAATGTATGTACTACTATTTTGATCTCTTTGGAGAAAAAATAGGATATGAATTTAAGAGGTTATTGTTCCAGAAGCAGAAACACATCCTTGATGATGAATATCTGGAAAGGATCTTGACATGAAAAGAAACTGTGTAAAGAACTTTAAGAAAATATGACATACTGGGTTGAATTCAATTTGTTGTAAAGTTATTATTTATGTGTGTTGAAATTTCATGGCACGTATTGTACTCGGATGCAATAAAGGCTATCTTGTTCCATGTTATAAAAAATTACTATACAGAAAATAGAATAAACAAAGTTAGCAGCTATTTGAGATGTAGACTGTCTCTTTACTATGCCCTGAACAAGAGGGCCTTTGTGCTTGGATAGCCATAGCTACATAAGAAATTGGCATATCCTCTTATTCATATTAGCCACCTTTTAAAATAGTAAATATATTTTGAGCGTTGAGGAATCTGTGAAGTAAGATATGAAAGTTGTCATAAAGCACAATTTTTATCTACTGATATAAAGGAGGAAACACTTCTGCAAACTTTCAAAAATTGTAAATCAGTATTCAGCCCCCTTGTGAAGTTTTTTTTACCTTATGTGGAGCTTGTTGTGGATATCATTCTAACACTGGGACACTGGTGCATTTGATATTAAACTAGCAAATACTAGTCATAGACCTTCCTTTTCAAGCAGGCTTTTAAGCAGTGATGGTGGTCTCAGGAATGCTATATTTATTTCATTGAGATATTTTAAATTTTTAAAATTGTTTTTAATTGTGGTTTTAATTTCAATAAGTCCTGTTGTTTTTAGTAAATTTTAGTAGCATTTTAAAATTGGTGATTATTGTATTGTTTTAATTGTTGAGCTGCCTTGGTCTCCTATGGGGAAAAAGGGATACATAGATGGATAGATGGATAAATGGATGGATGTTTGAAATTTTGGGCTTACAAATAGTAAATATTAAATGTAGTAAGACAGCAGGTTTCTGAAATTAATTTAACAAGTGCAAAACTCATTTCTGGAAACAATTGCAATTTAAATCTATAAACTACCAGTTTTCTCCCCTTTGCATACGTGTTCAGATGTGGAAAGCAGCATATGGAAGGGATTAGGCAGTATAGATCACATGCTTTTAACTAGAGGCTGCCTGAAAACTTGGGGAGGAGGTCATATTTTTCCCTAAGAGCTAAGTTGGGGAAGAGGAGGCATATATGCTCCTCTCAAACTGTGAAGGATTTTGGAGTATGAGAAAATATACAGTCAAACCTTGACTTACAAACTTAATCCATCCCAGAAGGAAGTTTGTAAATCGAAAAGTTTGTAACTCAAATCAGTATTTCCCATACGAATGCATTGAAAACCAATTGATCCGGCTGTTTTTGGTTCTTAGATCGAGGGGAGGTTTGTAACTCGAATCATTAGTTCCCATATGAACTAATGCAAAGCTGGTTAATCCGTTCTTACCACTAGGGGCAGATTTTTTTCTTTTTTTCCTTTTAACCTAAGATGACGTTTAAAAAAAGGAAAGAAAAGAGTTCGTAACTCGAATCTAAGCTTGCAAGTCGAGTCTATATATTCCTATGAGAGCGGTTCGTAAATCAAAATGTTTGTAACTAGGGCCGTTTGTAAGTCAAAGGTTGACCTTATTGTAGGCACAATTCCTAAGTCATTAGGGTGGTGTGAATTGTGAATTAAGTACTCACCATACTGGATGATAGAGACATTAGAGGATAAGAAGAGGAGAAATGAGAAGAGTTTGGGACTTGTCTTGGTTTGCAAAGAGAGTGGGGGTGGGGGATTGCTTGAGTCCCACTTTCCTTCTCTTCCTATGCCTGGGCAAACATAGGAAGAGGAGGGAAGCCTGACAGAAACAATCCCCCACCCTCGCTATCCTTGCAAAGATAGCAGGGGTGGGGGATCGCTTGGGTCCCACTTCCTATGCTCGAGCACTCATAGGAAGATGGGGGAAGTGGATTAAAGTGATCCCCCACCCCTGCTATCTTTGCAAAGAAAGCAGGGAGAAATCCTTTGGTCAGGTTTCCCCTGTCTATGTGACAGATGCATAGAAAGACAGGGGAAGCCTGACCAAAGCATTCCCCCAGTCTTTGTAAACAGGGGGTAGGATTACCTACGGGCAGGCTTTAGCAAGCTGCTGGAAGGGAAAACTCATCTCTGCTTATGCCCCTGAGAAACAGCTGATCCGCGGGGGCATAAACAGGAATAGACAAAGGAACAAATGTAAATGGGTTATATTTGTTGCTTTGTATTCATCAAGGTCTCTGGACCTCAAGAATATGAAGCAACGAATATCTGACGAATCAGTGATATTCACTGAATATCATGATTCATATTTAGATTTGTCCCCATGCCTAGTAATAAGTGAGACAGTGTTTTATTTATTTATTTAACTTATATGCCGCCCACTCTATCCAAAGGCCTCTGGGCGACTTACAACAATTAAAATATAATAAACAGATAAAACAATTAAAATACAATTAAAATAGATACTCTAAAAATTGCCATCAAGGACCCACAGTTGATATTATTTCAATTAAAAGCCTTCTGGAACAGAAAGGTTTTGACCTGGCGCCGACATAATAGTCATAGTAGATCTAATTTCTGTAACTAGAATATAGTGCACTATGTTTTAGCGAAAGACATTCAGGTCATAAACCCCTGGCCTTTGGAAAGTTCTATATCTCAAACTATTTGGAATGGCTTGTTGCAGGAACACAGGAGATAAAGAAGTGAGAAGCCAAGTGCTTCCAGGGCTGAAAATTAATTTCCCCAGGTTCTGCCAGGTCTACATAGAAAGTCCAGATGTATTTCAGCTTTTTATATGTTCCAAGGTTCTTTAATTTCTCGATTTAGGACAATATTACATTAACAACTTACACTTACCCTAAACAATTAGAAAGTTAAGGCAACATCATATATTAGGGTAATGCAGTGATTCTGTTACATGAGGGCTAGGCTTATGTCAGGTTGATGGGAAGATGAAACAAGACCATTTGTTACTTGAAAGTTGCAACAAAAGCTACTTGTGGTGTAACTCCTTATGCGTTAGCCTTTACTGGCAGTTTATTTGTTTAAACAAGTGAAGAATTTGAGCTTGAATTCTTTGCCTTTATCTGAGTTCATTAACATACTTGATTGATCCTGTTTCCCCCCTTTCCTTTTGCATTGTGTTCTGAAAGACTGGCTTGAACTTGACTCTCTGGAGGTTTGAATATTTGGCTTTGGGCACTCCTACTGAAGTTGGATTATCATCTGCACACTGACTTTTGTGCTTCTTGGAAAACTGGAAGTGAGAATGCAGCCTGATTGACAACACAACAGTAATACTGTATTGTTTCTCCTTTTTTTTCCTTCTCCTGCAAGAGTGGAAAGAAGGCAGTTAAAGCAGTCTTGTGGGTTTCAGCGGATGGACTCAGAGTGGTTGATGAAAAAACAAAGGTTAGTCACTGCTGCTTTTGGAAACATAAGTGATTAAATTGCATATGGCATGTCATCGTTTACACTGCTTCTCCAGGGTATTAGCCACATATATGCCGAGTCAAGTCATCAGAGATGCCTTTTACATGTAGTTCTGTTTCAGATTTTCATTTTACTTTTGCTGTTTATATCTTCAGGTATTAAAAGTGAAAAAACTGTGCCTTTAATTCCTTCTGTCTTATGAGTGACAGAAGAGTAATTATGTGGAAAATAACAAGCAAGAGGCAAAACCTTGACCTTGATACTTACATTGTCCTTCTTAGAAGACACTGAGAGAATTAATTTCATATAAAAATGTATGTTACTGTTCACTGTGTCTTCTGTGAAATGCATGAGAAATATAAGAAAAATTACGGCTAAGGCTCTTAGAAGCCAAATAATTATCAGTCATGGTTTCCACCTCAATCTCTAAAGAACTATCAGAGATTTATTCAAGTGGAATACAAAATGTAATACAGTGGTGCCTCGCATAACGATTTTAATTGGTTCAAAAAAAACGTTATGTGAAACATCGTTATGTGAAACACCATTTTCCATAGGAATGCATTGGAAACCGGTTAATCCGTTCCAATAGGCACGGATTGCCGTCCTTAAGTGAAAAAACCCATA